AAACATAGGGAAAGTATGCAGTCAATTTTGAAATATGCTCAGTTATTCAATCGTTAACAACAAGGTTTTGCAAAGTCACACAATATAACAGCATCTGTAGACTCATACTTCTCTAATACGATCTCAGCGACCACCTCCATTTCGCATGAGTGGGCCCGCTAGATACAGCGTCTTCACTATTTATATGGCCTACTAGGGAAAAAAAGGGAGAGGGAACAAGCACTTTTAGCAGAGATACGGATGCAGGAGTTTTGTGCATTCAAACTTGTAATACGTTTTATTTGACAGTAAAATTATTTTTTCAGTAAGAAGTGCTCACTTTGCAGGATTGTGATAAGGGGAGGCACAACCTTTCGACTGGAGTGCAGCCCATCAAATCTTGTAGTTATAGTATTAAAAAGAAGATAACAAACATATAAATCTTTCAACATTCGCCTCTTATGGTGGTTCTCTGGTTTTTTCTTTCCTATGCCAGTAATCACCCTCAATCAAACTCCCTTTCCATAAATCAAGATTTATAAAAGTTTATAACGCTACCTTGCTTCTTTCTCTGTCTTTGATGCACTACTGATGCCCGTGGTTCGTTTACGCCGCTGTTGCATCCATTTCTCATTTTGTTCGTCTTCTTCTGGATCGTAGAAATCTGGGGCTTCCTAAAAGCTGTAGCAATAAAACGGATGGGAGTGGTTCACCAGGAACACTGACCGCCTTCACGTCCTTCATCGTTTGCCGTGCTGCTTTCTTAATCGGATTGCCGTCCTCAACATCCTCTTGAATGGTTTGATCTGTGCAATCCTCTCCCACTTTTGCGTCCATTTCAGATGGTTCACTCTTTACTGATGACTTGTCCACCTTAATTTCTGAATATTACACAACTGTGCAAAAAAATGCTTGATAGAACCCATAAACTAATAAGCGAATCGGCCCAATACAACTCCGGACACAATACGATGTGTTGGAACTTCAGAAGTGGTCTGGGAGGGTACGAACACCTTTTTATTGGTTATTGAACCGTAAATGACTTCTGCAATGTATTTTCAAACCCTCCCAGTCTGCTTTAGATTTTCAATGTTTGGGCTGCTAAAACCACGCCCAATCGCATGCGATCAAATGTAATTTACGATTTCCACCGAAAAGTTGTTCTAACGTAAATGCATGAGAAAAGAGAGAGTGCAGCTAAAAAAAATACATAAAGGAAATTCATTCACCGCTTTGTCAATATTGACTGCTGGCGAACTATCATCCAGAGAACTGCTGGGATATACTGTATCTGTTTCCATTTCTTCGATCTTGGGCAGCGTCTTCGCGACAGCTCCCCGTTCCAGTTTCACTCTCTTTGTTGGAATAGGTTGTTCAGCATTTTCATCAGATTCTTAATAACGATTTCCACATCGTATTCGAGAATCAGCTCATTCTAAACGTTACCTCTCTTGTCATGACTACTCTCGCCTTCATTTTCCTCATCGCTGTAACTCGCTAAAGCAGGCATTTCGTTTCCCTGAGCTTAGGGGGCTGAAAAACAGATATCATTGGTTATCATAAACACATCTTATCCTACTTATTATGAGTTGCACTGCCTGTCCGTTTGTCCTGGTCTGGGTGTCTGCTACAAAATTCGATATTACCTGAGAAAGCATCGGACAGCCTGGATAAAGTTTGGGATAGGTAGGGTACAGACCTAGAAGAACAAATGACACATCAGTCGAGCGGAGCCCCGTCCACGGTGGTGTTACATGCACCGAAAAGGCGGTGCAATATAAACTTTGAAATTGATTCCAAAACGGCCCAGAGACTGGTGAATGGGTAAAGGTGCGCGAGTGTCTGCCAGAAAAAATCGGGAAACCCATCTGCTTTCAATAGGAAGTACTTAAACAAATGTAAGGTGTCACAAATATAAATATGTGAAAGATAAGGTGCACCAAGCACAGTTGAATTGAGAGGGCGCACACCCACAATGAGCGGATCATGTCTTCATGAAGAGGGAGCTTTACACAGATCATCATAATTAGGTTGTGAAAAGGCCCTGAGATCAGTAAAATGTGTAGATGCTAGTGAAATGGAAAAGTTCATGTACTGACAGTGGAGTGTGCTCAAACGTGGACGGATTCAGCAATAATCCCTCATAATTCGCTTACTAAATAGTAAGGAGATCGGGAAAAAATTGGCAGAGGTTAGCTAATGCAACGAGGCCATATGCTAGTTGTGGGCAGAGCTCAATCCGAATTTTGGCCGCAAGTTCCATGTCGCCAAGGAATCTTGGATCGGCCGTGATAGCGTGCGGCGCCAATTGGTGAAACAGTACTTGACCGAGTAGGTACATGGACAGTAAGACAGTTGATCAATTCAACACTAACAGAGTCAACTGTACCTCGAAAGTGAGAATGCCAACAGGAACCCTAGGAAAGCATCGCACGACCGCGGCGTAAACGCTTTAGTGAGTATTTAGAAAATGCGCGCCGTAGCGACGATTTCTTATTCAAGAAAAGTACATGGCAGTTTTTGGTATCCTGCTACTTCTCCATATTTATTTCAAGTGATCTTTTGCCTGCACCTGCCTGTCGTGTTGATCTGCTATTCAATCCACAGGTAAACTTGTTTAGCACTCAGGCAAAGCTTAAAAACCTGACTACTGCAAAATTTCAAAGAACTTTCAAGTGACCTAAATTAAACGAAAAATATCATGAACATGTAATACGTACTGTTCTTGAATCCACCTCTTCACGACTAGTTGCCGGTGCTCCTGATCGCTTCACATTACCGCTAAGATGCTCATTAGCGTAATCCGTGATCAACTGATCCAGCTCGCATTCCATATCCATTTCGAATTCTGATTTTATTGCTGAAACAAAGGAACTATATTTCTGTTAGCATCTCCCCATGGACACTTGCATCAGTTCCAGTTCAGGTAGCAGTAAAAAATTAATGGTATGCATCTACAACTTTTGAAACATGTTCTCGTAACTGTGTTCACCCTCTTACCGGAGCCTAAACCATTACAGGAAGTCTTACCGTAACGCGAATTAGATCTCTAAGAAAAATAGAGGTAACGATGTGCGACATCGTTACCTCCATTTCTCTTAGAGATTTAATCCGAAGCAGCAAGCGAAGTAGATTTCGTAAAAAAAAATTGAAAATTGAACGGATAACTACAGCGCGAACTGAACGTCGTTTAGTGTCGCAAATCACGTGGGCAATATCGCACACATTACCACGGACAAGAACCGCCTCCTACCATAAAAGTCACCGTGCTCCACCGCTCGAAGGATGTCTCCTTGGAAAGAAAAGTGCTAGAGGCACTCGCTATCAAGCGACTGTCTCCAGAAATAAACAACAGAGAGGAACTCATAGAGGCAATGAGACTAATAAGTTAACGGTGTATATATGCGAGCACAGTGAAAAGAGTCACGTACTGCTCATTCTGAGTACTTTTCATTTGGTTAGCGACTGTCCTAGGGTAAGGTGTCATCATTCTATTGTCGCCAATTGTGTTAGTTCGGATTGTAGCTTAACTTTGCAGTCTCAAGTAGTTGTTTGCAGAATTCTTTAATTGAAAGTAGCCGCCTGGTCAGTTAGTTATCATTTGCTATAATTATTGCAAAGGCTGTTTAATTGTGATATGCTTGTAACTTTTTCTAGGTCTGAGGAAGCTGTTATATCAGCGAAAGCTCACCAATAAAGCTTGAAAAGAAAGAGTCCTCAACAACTACAAATATTTGCTAAAGAGAAATATTCAACAAATGAGGCTTAGGGATAACTCCATTTTACGAAAATAAAGCGTAGCATACATTTTTCCTGACGACGTTTCTGAACACATTCCTTCTTAATGCCAGCCAACTTGCACAACTCCTGCTGTAGCTCGTCATCAGAGCTGGAAATAAGGATCCTTCAACAACAAAATAACGAATGAGGATGAATGAAAAATTATTGGTGTTTGAAGATACTCTCTCTCCAAAATAGAGGCAGACCGAATGGCTTTAATTTCTCAAGTAATGCTATACATGGAGTGGACTGCAGCGGATTAAATTCCTCATCGCTGGCGTCACTAATCCTATGACTGAACAATATTAAGAGATTACCTCTGATGGCGTAACAACGCCTCAGTTATTTTGTAGTGATCAAAAATAAGAATACGCTTTGAAAACTAGCGAAAAAGACAAAACCTTTAGATGAGGTGTGAAGAAATGCTCCCACCTCAGTTCCTCTTCACTGTCCCGCCCAATTCCACCTCGTGCCTCATCACCCATATAATAGTCCTCCTCAAGAGCTTCGAACGGACGCAGCTTCTCTTTATTAGCCATCTAGATTTCAATTTTCCTAATAAAGAGATACGACTTGTAGAAATATGTTCCAAGTTCCATGCATTAACGCCCGAAAAGCTATAGAAAGTCTATTGAACCCGCACAGTTTAAGTACAAATCAGGCAATAAAAGCAACCTCTACGCACCACAATACACATAGTAATATATTTTATTCGCAAATAACATTGAAACCGAGCGCAACAAAGCTTTCTGAATGACACCTCCTCCGGTGAGAAGGAATCTAGTTGAGCCTGACCAGAAAATAAAATGAATATCAAGAAGCCGCAAAAATTGCACTCAAATCCAGACCGAAAATAAGGAACAATTCGGAGAAAGACAAAAATAATTTCATGAGCGCAGAAGTGAAAGGATTGTGGCTACAATCAAGACCTAAACTCTTGTAATACGAGGGCTACTGGATAGTGGAAAACACGAGCCACTGCTAACCGCATCTTCAATGGAAGGAAGTAAGGGAGTACACGGAATAAGAAGGACCATTGACATCAGGAGAAAAAATGTAACAGCTACAGCACATGAAGCATTAGTGCTCACTTTTAAATCCGTGTAGAGAAGGCGAGAAATGTAACGGAAAATATGTGCTAAATTCCTGAAGAACTACAGTGCACTTGCCAGACCATCCTACACATATATACGGGATGAAACGCAAATTCATACATTAACCAAAAAAGGGATAAAATCAAAATGTGACCAACTCAAAATATATAAAGTAAACAGCTCCAAAGGTTCGAAAAGGAATGAGCTTGAAATACTGGATGGAAAGAAATTTTTAACTGTTTGACAGTATAGTTAGCGATTGCACAGTAGATTCAGGTAGAGCTGTCATTTTTACAATGATAGTAGAAATACTCTGTCATAAATATAAAGACCCGGATCAAAAGACTACAAAATGTCTGAGTTAACCCTGCCGAAAATGTTGCCTCACTATTGAACAAGGCTACCATAAGCTTGCTCTCGCTGCGTAATACGCTTCATCTCTCGCAAATCCTCCATTTGCCGCTTGATTACCTCTTGTAAAAGGCGCATTTCCTCAGATGTGAACTTTTGTGGGGGTCCACCCAAAGCATTCGTGGTGATCACTTCCATTTTCACATCTTCCACTGAAATTATAAAAAACAGACTTTAAAAAAAGAAACATCTCAATAGTCAACAACCTTGCAAACCAGCAGCATTAAGAAGATGCATCACTTCTTTGAAGTCGGAGTTGGTCAGCACAATTTTACCATCGACAAACATGCTCTTCAAGAGATCGCGCGAGTTCTTGCCATGCTTGAGAGCATCCTAAACAAGCACTTCGATATTGCTACCGGCTCAGTATCATTATGAGCTTGTTTTCATACCTCTTCGCGTTTTTTGTACAACAACATCTCAGACATAGTGAACCACTGCTCGTGAAATACCTGTTGGCTATACTGTTCCAAAAGATCAGTCATAACCTGTGAAATAAAAAGATCAGGGAACATGCATGCCTAAAGCCTACAACTCCTCAATGTTGGATATGAGCTGCTTACCTTTCGAAGCCGATTGTCAATGTCAGCCTGCATTTGTTCAGATCTCTTTCTAATTATCGATTGGTAATAGCTAAAAGATACATTCAAAAAACACATATTCGACAAAAAATTCAGAAAAAAAACCAACTCATCGAACAAAATGTTAGCTCTTTTTCCCACTCCAATACCAGCGAAACTTAGTTTGTGACCAGGATGTTCAATGTCGTATCTTAACATACGTTCGACGATCGAAATTAAAGAAAGGAAGATATCAAAAGCTAGTCGCAAGATACCTTATTTGAGACAACTCGTAAGCAATGCATAGCCGATCAAGCATCCTTGTCATATCACTTTCAATATTTCTTCGTATATCCTCCGGAATGGAGGCTCTATTTTCCAGAAAATGCAACTTAAATGCACACAAATAAGAAAGAGCAATGAGCAAAATTAGCTACATTATAGGGTTTTTTTTTTAACTGAGAAAGAATACCTGTAAATACTTATAAGCAGGGACTAGCTGGGTTCCTATTGCGTCCTCTTTGCTGGCTTCGTACGACGAACAATCTATCCCCATTAGCGAAATACTCGAATTTGCGTCATGAAAGCATTTACAACAGAAGACCTTAACAGAGAACGAAGTAACATTATAACTTCATCGCAAAGCAAAAATCGAGCAAAAAAGCTGTTCTCACGCTCTGAATCCAAACAAGCCGTTACCAGAACCAATATTTCTAGCCATCTCTCCCTCATCAAGTGAATCATCACCATTTGGAGCCACGAATAATGGAACATTCTAGCTGAGATATACTATCTTATAGGAGTTATTTGTTTTAACTGAGAAAGAATACCTGTAGATACTTATAAGCAGGGACTAGCTGGGTTCCTATTGCGTCCTCTTTGCTGGCTTCCGGTAGAACCAACTCTATCCCATTAGCGAAATCAACTCGAATTTGCGTCATGAAAGCATTTACAACAGAAGACCTTAACAGAGAACGAAGTAACATTATAACTTCATCGCAAAAGCAAAAATCGAGCAAAAAAGCTGTTCTCACGCTCTGAATCCAAACAAGCCGTTACCAGAACCAATATTTCTAGCCATCTCCTCATCAAGTGAATCATCACCATTTGGAGCCACGAATAATGGAACATCTTGTAGGACTGCTGAGCGCAACTAAATACGTAATTATGACACCGATTTGACGAATATGACCTATATTAAATTCTAACAGTAGTGCTAAGGACCAGCATGCAGCAGCAAGTTTTCCTTTGGATTCCAAGGGTCTCCGCGAATAAATTTAAAAAGCCGCATTGCCAACGCCAGGTCGGGGTGGCTCTTCACTAATTTTGCAGCAGCATTATAGTACCCGTTCATAATCTGAAAACCATCAAAAAAATTAAAATCTCCTTCAGCAGGGAAGATAGATTTAAAAAACTAAGCTACTTACGTCAACGTAATCCAGAGATTTCGGAAAATGGGTTTTATTCCACGTCCTATCATGAAAATAAAACCAGAGATTACCGGCGTCTTGGTCACGTTCACTCAGGTAATCAAAATTATCTGAAAACGATGTGAAACTCTCAGGAAAGACGAGACAATTTTGGTGGTAATCAACTTTACAACTCCGAAATCGCAGAAATTCGTCCTTTTTTTGCAGGAACACAACCCATAAAGGCATTTCGATGAACTGATCGCGGGAATGACATTCATTTTAGCGCTGGCGCTGGCATCAGTGGGAGTCACTTTGTCACAGTAGGCGTTTCACCAAACTCGGTGTAAACTTCAGTATAGGTGATCAGAGGTCCTAATTACAAATATTATCACTCGTTTTTGGCATTAGCGCTGTTCGACGCATATTTTTGTTCTCATGGGCTCTCTCACTTGGATGTCGTTTTCATAATCAGGCATCGAATTCCCCTTACGGGCGAAATGTCGACAAAATAAAAATTTAGGCTTTTGAGTTGTAACAGTTGATTAGAGCCGACATTTGGAGCATACGGATGTCATAGTCCGCAACTGAAATTGCGTTTTCGGTGCGTCTGCAGTGCAAGCGAGTATTGCGAAGGAGCGCTATTAGCGTGGAAACGTAACCGGTCAATACTCGCAGGCCGAGGATGCTGTACCTCCTCCCACAGAGGAGTTAGAGAATAGTTGTTTTCAAAGTTTTCTCTTCATATAATGTTCAACGATGGATGTTTTCCTGTGGATAGGTAGACGCATCGATTACCAATCGATCGTGTTTCCTCGCGAAATGCGCTCCCCCTGGAAACCCTTCACATCGCAATTTCTTAGCCGCTTGGCTACTGCTCCAGTGCCGCAAATTTCCCGGGCCACTTTATTGTAATCACCTCCTCTAATTGGCATTACCATAAGAAGTCTCACATATTGCGCTACTTCCGAATGATCTGATACCCAACTCGGATACCAAAATGATTATTAGGGTGCTTCAGCTACCAAATTAAGACACATTGCTAATGAAAAAACAACTCACAAAATACTTCGTCAATATCGTCAATTTCACGCGTCAATGTATCGACCACGTCGCCTGTACCTTCGGGAGGAACATCACCTAGCCGACCTGAATATAAACTTCATACTGAGTGCGAGGCTAGAAATAAAGTGGATGATGTGTAGTGACCCTGTAAAGTGGTCCGTATGTATTCCAGAGAAGCGTTCTGATACTCATAGTCAATATAAGAACGCAAGGCTGATCTCTCCACTGACGAATCTCTGAGAAGTTCTGTTCGCCGCATGGCAGCACGTCGACGCTGTATCCGTCGAAGAATGTCCAAGAGTTTAACAGCGCGTTCTGCAGCTTCCTTCTATATTGCAACATTCTATTGTACAAAGGAAATAAAGACCACCGACGAAACTGGGAAGAAACCAACTTTTGCGGCGCGTTTTCGGATAGTATCTTCCAAGAACTTTTCAATTCGCTTCCTTGGATACAAATGGTTGACACACAATTTTGTTCGGCTTAACCTACAAAATAATGAACAAGCAAATTATTTTAATCAAGCACCTCTACTTGGGGTGCTTGATTAAACGCGTTCAACACTTGCCAAGCAAGAAGTACGCTTCCAAGCTAAAAGTACGTTAAGTAGCCACAAAAAATTCTGACAAATATGACATCTTCCATAAGCCAACGTTTATAGAGGAAGTGCTTCTAAGCCGAGTATTCCGAGCACCATTAAGCTATTCATAAAGTGGTACTATAAAATGGGACTTATCCAGAGGGAATTAGTGTGGCAGTTCATGTCGCCTCAACCCAATTTTTCGCAAGGAAAAGAAGTCTGGGATAAGTGTCAAAAACGAAGCAAAATGATTCACCCACCCCGGGAATTTCTTACCCCCCTGCGTAAATTGGAATTGCAGATGGCAGCAGCTGTCGCAATACATGCTCCCTTACTGAAAGAAACCCTAAAACTGCAACAATTCGTTTTTCATACCGGCATGAGACACTAGATATAGAGCTTTTAGTAATAGCTATCAAATGGGAACTCACCATTTGGAGGCATGAAGGCTTTTAAACTGCACAGCGAACCGACTTTGACAGTGATAAGATATTCACATGATGCTGCTTCTTCCACATGCTCAATATACGCCTCACTGGTTGATAATTGAGGATCGCATTCATACTAAAAAATCAAAGGAACAGTAATCAACTTTCGTAGTAGGCTTCGTGAACCATAGCCAAATGAACGTATGCAATGGGACACCGAAGCAAAACGCTGCATGGCCTGTGAAGGATTCATTTGAAGAAAGTTGAGCTCTTCTTTCACGTACATAAAGGCTGTTTCGTCATTGAACATGTACGTAATTTCAGTGCATAGAAGAAACGTTTTTCGCCAAGAAAAACGAGTCCTCGAAAATCACATGTTAAGGCACAGATGGGACGGGCGAAGCCAAAAGGAAAGCATGGGAAGAAGTACGATGCGAGAGGTCACGTACTGAAGGCAGTCGTGATCGAGTTGTGTGTATTTTGTTTGAAAATTAGGCAAAAGGGCAGTGAGGAACATTAATGGGGAGAAGAAGCAAAAAGCATGATAGAAAATGCTAGAATTCCCTTTTTGGAGCCGGCCGTGGTATGGCGGAGAGAAACAGAAACGATTTCTCACTATGGTTCCCTAGGTCCCACCGTAAGCGCGTTGTCACGTGTTTCAGTTTGTTTTCTTCGTTTTCTCTGCGCACTCCACGACGAAAGCCACGACGAATGTTGTCTTCAACTGAACGGAGCGCATCGCTGTAAAAGGCTAAACAGTCCGCCGCATGAAACAGCGAGCTCATTATGGGCCGCCGGGCTTTCCGCGAGCATCGGAATGCCGAAGTGTATCGCTCTCGGCGCAGCGGCGATGAGGCATCGTAGGAATTTTGGAGGCTGCCCCCGGCTGGTCGCGGAATAAAAGGTACTGTGTTGTCACAGGCTTAGTCCGATCAAAGGGTGGTGTGCACGCGCGCCGGTGATTGCGCGCTCCAACGCTCTCAGCACGCCGTAGTGCAACGTGATTGCGTGAACCTAGCAACCCATATCGAAAATCGTTCTTTTCATAAGAGATAGAGCCTCGAAAAGGGAAAACGCGAGATAGTACGTCGCACGCGAGGGGGCACAAACACTACGAATGCTGCGGTTGATAAGGGTGGCTGCACGTCATCAAAGGCAAGGACTTAGCGCCGTTGCCTCGCTCTATCAAGTCACCACATTGCCTCGCTCTAGGCTTAGGACCCGCCGTCCAAGGGTAAGCGTTAACAAAAAAGGCAATGGTTTATTCAGCATTTGTCAGTGTTATCTATTAGCAACTCTGCTTCTCTTTCCTTTCCTTCGAAAAACTCAGCCCTACTAAAGCACGGAGTAAGTGCATTTCTGTCTGGACTCTCACGCGTTGGTTGACCACAGCCCCGTAACCGGGACCCCTCTTACTCGCTCTAAGATCGATTGGCTCTTGAACGTAATCGCGTCTCGTGGCTTCAAGCGGACATCAAAAGAACCGGAATAAAGTTTTCGAATTTGGAAAGTGTCAAAGGATCGACATGAAAGCGTGAAGAAGAGCGCAATGGTCTTCTCATAGATGAAAAGGCTAAAATCACCCAGATAAGAAGAGTGAAGAAGTAAAGAAGAGTGGAATGGTCTTCTCGTAGAGGGAAAAGCCAAAATCTTATAGTGAGAGACTTCGAGTGCCAAATGGAAGCCTTTTGCCGCCAATAGAACAGAGACAACAAGAACATTGGTAACACATATTGAAAGAGGGAATATGTATGAGAGTTCTCCTCATAATTCGAATTGTTTACCAAAATAAAACAATTTTTGTCCCCTCAGTCCTATCGTGAAAAACGGCTCCCAAGCCAACAATTTGTAGGGGGCATCGAATAGTAATGTTTCCATGGGCGATTTCTTTGAAGTTCTCTTTTGAACTAAAAGCTATACTTACCAAGGTACTGACCCCTTTACGAATATTTCCTAAACTACGAACACCTAACAGTTCAGTCGTAAGAGCTATGTTCACTCCTGATAGAATGGTGCTAGAATACGACTCAAGTAACGACAAGACAAGTTCAAACAGTGACTCACCCTAACCGCCGTTCTCCTCGGCGACTTTTTATCTGGAAGATCGCATAAGGTTCCACCTTCGTAGTGTTCTTCGAGATACATTAATCTTTCAGGAGTCGAGGTCTGAAGCAATCCAAAACATGAAATACAAACACAAGAAACTAATCCTCAGCAATGCAAAAAAAAATTAGAGAGTCATTAGTCTGTCATCATCATTGAATGTCTTGCCTACTATCGCAAAGACGCCTTTCCATGGCGTCCTCATTAGCACAGTTGCAGCGTTCTCATTTTTAGAGCAAGTTTGGGTTGGGCTTCTTTCGGAACATGCTGTTTTTTTAGCACATCAAAAAACCCTCCAATACTTCACAACAATGCGGAGTTTTAAGAAAAACACTAGGTGGGCATCTCGAACTAGCGCCCACAGCAGTCCGGGCTGCTGTGCTACGCTACCGTCTACGCCACAGGGATACCATTTCACCTTAAGTCAGCTTGATGGTGTATTAACAGTAGTTCATCACCACTCTCACGTCTAAGGTGGAGAAGCAGGGCTGTGAGCTCTGGAGGAAGATTACTGTGAAACATCCCTTCATGCAAAACATTTGCAACTCGAACTGCGGCGATAGAACAGCAGTTAACAAAAAACTGATCAAAACTGTGATATCTACTAAAGCTTTCAGCCTTGCGGTTCAGTGCCAATTTCGGCTTACCGGCTCAATCACGTTAGACGTGTGAGTGCTGATAAGCTTTGGTAAGTATACCATCGAGCCGACCATCAGGTGAAATGGTGCAGCGGTGCTGTAATCGGTAGCAGCAGCTCGTAAAGCAAGAGACACGTGTTTGTCTCACGTCCAGGCGAAAGTTTTGACCTTGACTAAGCATTCTCGTGAAACATTCGCAACGCGAATTGTGGTGTTAAAACAGCAGTCGACAAACAAAAACCATCTTTGAAAGCGATAATTCATCAAGAGGTTGATAGAACTGCAAATATGAAGAGCATGCGAGGAGTTTCTCTCAAGCTGATGGACCACTTGCCTATGAGAGCCCATGGTACCGCGACGAATAGGTAGTGTTCATGTTCAGGAGGTAGATCTACCCTTAAACGAGTTTCTAGCCAAGCCTGAGGTTTTGACCTAAATGAGCAAAAGAGGTTCACTAATAGGATTGGCTACGACTTCCCAGACAGTAATTATAGAGCTGACCAATCACTGACGATGGGGGAGTGTAAGGAGGAAAGCGCACTCGAAAACAATGCAACGTATACCATACGATAATGCAAGCAGATATGTCAAACACTATTTTCTCTTTTAAGTATGGTTAGGAGGACAATTTCATCCCAATGCCACCCTTCGGTGATGAATTGGTTGAGCTGATTAAGCGTGACCGCCACAATTTTTGGTGGAAGAATTAGAACTACAAATTTGCTCCGAGTGGCATTTCAACTTTCTTATTTCGGATGTCACACTCATTTGGAGCGAAACGCCTGTGACTTGCGCTACAAGCGCCATGTGCACTCGAATATCGCCCAAGTTTGTTAGAAACTGCTCGCAATTCCCTTTTACGCCGCTACGCTTTTCTATTTCATAATTGCGTTCAGGGAAGAATATAGCAGGTACGGAATACAGATTTGAGTTCAACGTCTCGAGATGCGTACAATTCGAATGGCCGGAATTACCTAATGATATTTCCTTGTTAGTTCCGCGCAAATGTGCTTAAAGAAGCTTCTATGAACGCGGAGAAATGGAATTGCGAAAACAAAAAATAGAGAGAGACCCTTGTTCAATGAAGGACGCTGCTCACGATTTACACGTGTACCAAAGTCGTTAGGACACATTATGAACACATTATAAAATGTACAATCCAACCAACTCAGCAGTAGACAAAATAGTCAGATACTGTAACCCAAGCATAGTATTAGCAGAAAATCAATCACTGTCACTATCCACTCATATTTACGTGGCCCTTGCAGCTTTTCTGGACAACGAACTCAAAATGTGCTGAAGTTGATGTCAAAGCCCTCGAAACGAAATGTTTCACGAGATTGGCAGACAACAAATAACAATGGAATAATATAAATGAATGACTGACCTGATACGTTGGGACGTCGTATTTTCCAAGAAAGAAACCAAGAGAATTGGTGATTTGTTGAGCTTCATTCTCTGAATGTTAGACACATTTGAATAAAAAACCTAAAACACGGAAGAGTAATACACGTACTTGCTCCGTGCCACTGCTTAACATCTTTGCCTCTGCAAAGTTTGTAATTCCACCATCCATTATCCTACAGACACAGAAAAAATACGAAACAGTGGACAAAACTAAGCCAAATAGGACATGTGAAACACTAACACATCTAGAAATTACCTTACTAATACAGTTCTTCACGTAGAAGCTCGCCGAAACCAACTCAGCCAAGTATTTAGGATTGTAGCTCTCCGACTGTACCTTCTCAGGAATTTGGACTTTTGGCATTTTGCATGCAAAATTCTGACCATTTTTGCTTTTGATGAAAACGTACTCTTTGTCACCAGCCTTGAAAAGAGCTATCGAAATCGAGGACGCAGAATGACACTACTCGGGAACATTACCGTCGGCAGATCTGCTAAGATTTTTTCCAAGATAGTGTTCTTATTCTGTAGAGATACTGTACTCAAATTGAATGCCGGATCGATCCCAGCCAAAACAGAAAAGATATCAGGTTCATATAATGTGCTCCTAAAAGTTTAATAAATTTCAGCGCGAAAAAGATGATGGATCATTCCCAACATATAAAGTAACTATTACCTGACTTCATCTATGTCATAAAGACCCGAAAAGCAGGAAACTGGCAAAAAGAAGAACGATATAGATAGCACTACAAAAGATATAAGCCACATGCCTCCTCACATCCGTCAACTCTATAGTAGTGAATAAATATCATAAAAACTGTACAACCCATAAAATTTACGCTATATCTTGAAGTCAAGCAACAATAAAAGGTAACTTCCGAAGAATCACGGTCTATAAGGAAGGCATTAGAAAATAGTCAGGTTTATAACACATTCCACAAATGCCATCAGTTTTGCAAAAAGAAAATCGAACTAACAAACAGCTTCACAGATCAAAGAAAAGAAGAGAAAGTACGGCTTCACCACACATAAGGTCATTCAAGGCAGAGCGAGAGCGTTTCGTAGAAGTGCACGCTACAGTTACATATACAACATGGGAAGTGACAAAAAGGGCCAATCGTCAGTTGCGTCGATATTAGGAGATTTCATGATCGCTCTCATGGAGGGAGGATCGACGCGACTCTCCACCAACACCATCAATTTTTGGAAAGGGGATCCCTCATACGAGCCTCTTAATCATACGCCCTCCCCTAGGGGTGGATGTCGAGTAAATACGCCTAAAGGAACATCAAAGGCACCCGCCTAATTTATACACAATTCATGGAGCCTCGCCAAAACGAAAACCCGTCAAAGGACGACCTTCCACTGCAACACGACCTCAAAGTTTATCACAACACGATGATATCAAATGTTGCACCTGCCTTGTCACCATCACCAACATACACAGACCAGATTACGACGGCCCCCTTCAATTCCCCCCCCCCCAAGCCTCGCTTCCCTCCTTCGAAAATCCCAGATACAATCCCTTCTTTGGTACTAGAATGGCTGACCCTAGCGATGAGATCACATCGCCAAACATAGAAAAAGAGCTGGAGATAAAGATCACCGCCATAAAAAATGAGTAATTCATATTCTAATATATTGTCTCATTCATCTTCTTCTTTCCTTCAGCAGCTTCCTAAAATAATTAAAAATCGTCTGAAGCTTTTGACGAAGGAGAGAAGACACAAACCCTGAATCTTTCTTCAAACAGTGAAAGTTCAGAAATCAGATCATTGATAGCGTTAATCAGGGCATCTGCAGGTGTGGTCTGCCCAGTTGTTTGAACACGCAGCAGTATCTGTAAGAACCCGACTTCATGCGATTTCCCCTGTAGCTAAGATGTAGTTATCAACATTATGGAATGTGAAATGACGAGATGACAATTTCTGCCAACGCAGTTGTAACGACTTGAAAGTCAGGTGTCGAGGAAAATGTTGGCTAACAAAACCCTTTGGCGACTTCCTCCCAATCCCGCAGGATCAACTGTTACATGGTACCTATAGTTGCGATGTCTAGACATTATGTAGAATACTTCGAAAGTAGCGACCTCAAAAATGTTGTGTATCAAGTGGTTGGAGAGGAAATTGGCGAGAGGCGGCATGATACGCTGGCTTTCCATCCCTTTCTCTCACGTCAGCCTACCGCGCTAGCCACTCCGATCTTCCGAGAAGCCCGAATTATAACTCTCCGTCCCCACCAAGGCAAATACGATCCGCTGCCCAAGGATCCACAACCGCGGTTCATCCTAGGTAGGATAGTTCTAAAAGTTCTTCTTCACTGAGAAACCAGAAATTCACGATTCGGTCGACTTCTGCAGGGGAAAATTTGGTAAAATAAGTGATTTACATCACTCCAACCTACTCAAATCCTCTACATGCCAAGCAGGCAAGCACAGGTCGAATAGTAATCTTTGTACGATAAGAAGAAACACGGACCAGCAATAAGTCATCACAAAAAAGGAAAAGGAAAGATGAAAACGCTAAAACGTAACCTTGTGTTCAAGAGGATGAGGGTTCTTGTATCCAGCAAATAGGACCATTGGATCTTTCAACAACTGGCTGAAATAATCAATTGAATGCAAAGCTTCTCCCGAAGTGCGCCGCATCCAAAGCCACGTCATCATAGGCAAGCCACACGTGCAACTACGCCATTCCTCGATTTCACGTGGAAAAGTAATGAGAAGGGGTGAATTGCATTGTTTTGGAAATGCGTCAAGACTTTCCAATAATGACTGCCACTACTTTAGCTGTAAAATCAGACACGAAAGATTGATCGTTCGTCAAAAATCATTGCAAGCATTTTAGAGGCGACGTTCGAAACTTGTGAGCTTTCGCAGAGAGGCAATGCATTGAACATACTTTCAGGAGGAGTGTACTGAGTTCTACCTCATCTTCACTGCACGTTGTTCTGGGCGTCAAAATGCAAAACTAAATGATACAACGAGCAAGGGTAGTTGGGGAAATGAGGTAGTAGTAGTGCGGCGCAGAGCCCAAAAACATCCAATGCCATAATAAACAATTCCATTTTCATACACACTATGATTAGTCCCTTCTTGAACGAGCGAATTAAGTGCGCTACCCCAAGCACCTCGCTTAAAAAAAAGATTATTGTATCCCTGACGAACTACAGCGCCAGATGCTCCCAAACCTAGTACAATTGTACAATATTATACAAAATATAGTCTACTACATTCACGGCATTACTTCACATTTGATCAAACGGCAGGATACAGAGGAAGTGGTTTAACAATACCACTCCAACAATTTTGCACTCTAGCTAAATCCAGAACCTAGGAATGAGTAACCGAATGCATGATCTATGCTGTTCGGAAGCTTGTGGTGCCATTTTATTTGTTAAAGCTCGCGTTCAAATAGAGAAAGGCAATTATGGGTACTACATTTAATTCCGCGAACACAAATAATACCTCTTGTCACAAAGACGCTGAGCTATACGCAAGTCACCTTGCACTTATGCTATCCGTCCAGCAACTTGACCCTCTACCCTACCGACAGGATCAGTTCTCCTATAACGCATTAGTCATAGCATAGATAAGTAGAACCGATGATAAGCTGCTTAGTGCCTGGCCATGAGAATTTATGCACGTTATTCTGGTAATGTCTGCATAAGAGCGTGAGAATGTTTTACGACGACAAGGAACCATCTTCACGCAACGTAAGTGCGAATGTGAGTTCCGTTAAGAGTCAAATTTTTCAGCTAAGCATCAAGCAGTCATTTAAAAAGTGAACTGCGGAGAAGACAGTAAACAAAAAAGCTGAAAAATTGCTTACTGCTTAAGCATGTTTCCCAGCGTGTGATCTTCCTTGTTGATGGTGAATACAGCGGCATTTGGAACCTGGAAACATTGAGACCATATTCATGGGATATTAGGATGCTCAATCCACACATAAGAACAAAACTAACCTTCGTGTCATTTTCAACCGATATCTTCCTCTCTCCGTCAAAAATTAAGAATGATTCAAATGCAGCTGGAGCGTTCATGTTGCCTCTATTTGCGAAATAAATAATAGCAGATCAACAATGAAAGAGGAGTTCAGCAGAGACCGGAAAACGCTTTACACTGCAGTAAAGGCTGTATCAAGCCAAAAAAGCGGAAATTGGAATACGAGCTTAGAACAAGGTCAACCGTAATATAAGGTGTTTATGTTGCAATTGCAGAAGTGCGCTAATTGACGGGTTTACGGACTACTTGGTTTTTCCTCAATGGTCCTGCGGCGATGGCTAGAGCACAGACCATTAGAGAAAGCCCTAGGACTAAACCTTGAGAGAAGTGGCCGATGTCAGACTTTGCGATTGGAGCGATTTTGCACCAATTGCAGGAGCGACGGATCGCTTGAGCGATGCGAGCGACGGGAGATTTACACCGCCGACCACCGATAATTCGGCGCCATCAGTTCGTAAATCTCCCGTCGCTCGCATCGCTCAAGCGATCCGTCGCTCCTGCAATTGGTGCAAAATCGCTCCAATCGCAAAGTCTGACATCGGCCAGTCCGTCAACCAATTGGTAGACAAGTGCCCAAAGACCGCAGAACTTGAACCATCAAAGGAGCGAGCTGTCATTCGCCACGAGTGAGTCTTCCCTTCGACCGCTTCCAGCAACACCACTCACCCTCAATGAGATCAACAACACGACCAAACACGGCTCCCTCACTCTCGAGCGAATGTTTGACCCAGCTCCTTGACGCTGTTGCAGTATACTCGTCACCTTGAAATAGTCCAATGAATCAAAGTAAAAGTGCCTTCGCCTCCCTGTAACTCTTAAAGGCTCTCCGTTTTGTGACAAAAAAAAAGTTTCATTTAAGAGACTGGAGTGAATGGTGCCGTTGAACTATGACAAAGAAAACAAGTACGTTGGAATCCGGTGATGGGGACGTCTTACTGATTTTGTTCGGTTTGGTTGATGTCAGAGTCCGCGATCCGTCGCGCAATTCGCGCGAATCGCAAAATCGCAAGTGCCCCATTTGAACATTTGAAACACTGAATATGAAACAAGTAGAATCATGCAGTCGTCATTCAACCATCACCATCAAGCAGAAATGGCGGCGGGATTGGAGAGCACCTTGCAGTATTGATCGGGCACTTGTGATTTCTGTGATCCGTCGCGCGAATCGCGCGACGGATCGCGGACTCTGACAACAGCCTTACGCGGCACTTTCTCGTAAAATCCGTGAAATCAATCACATCGCAACTCGAGATGCGGACAAAACTGTCACCCGTTTAGGTCATCAGAACTGGACTATCTGCAATTCTTTTACCAACGGCAACCGATTTCTGAATTCTTCAAGGGTGATCATCTCAACCACCTTTGAAGTCATCACACAGCTATCATTTTCTTCAGGCAGTGGTTACTGAATTGAAATATCACGTTCTTACGTGTGGCGTATGAGTTCACAAGCACAAATCAAGACCGGGGGCTATAAAAAACCATATTGTCTCCATGAAATGCTTGCACCCAGGGTCGGTCCTATCGTTGTTACTTTTCGAAAAATTTTTACGACCCCCCTCCCCCAAGGTGGATTTGATACGACCCCCTTTTCCCTACCTCCACCATCTCCATCTTCCATCAAAACCCCGCCCACTTTTTCCTCCAAAATGCCGTCGAGCGGGGGGGGGGGGTATATACGCGCGCTGAAACGGCAAATTTCCGCCGCTCCCCACTCATCACATGCAACTTCTTACAACCGAAGCAAGTACGACCCCCCCTCTACAAACTCATCAAAATACGACCCCCCCCCGTTGCTACTTGTAGCAACATAGGGTTGACCCTGCTTCCACCATAAAATTGAAAAGCACATTCCATCATAACAAAAAAAAATTCATGACTTCATAGTGGCCATCAACGTGGATGGCATCAGAAAATAAGGTCCGGAAACGTGCACTAGTCGAGCTCAGTCGCTCGTCGACGGATCGGGTAATATTAACCAGGTTTTCTGAACCGCGAGTCTCGAGGGTTGGCACGTTGAGAGGTAATGTCTCCAAGAAAGTATCGGTGAACAGTGAATCGACTCAAGATATTATTTTCAGGCTGAGGTGTTTACGGTAGGTCTCCTTGAGCTCGACGACGGATGACAGATGACGTCATATTCTGAAGACGGTGAGGGCAGTGAAGGAGGGCCTGCGTCTACTTATAGAGGGACATTTAGGGAATATTTTGCTGAGGAACTTCCGTCAACGACGGCAATCTCTGCGAAAAAAAAAACGCTGAAGTGCGACATGGCAAAATGCCATTTTTGGCCCCCTGTATAAGCATACACAAAACACGCCTACAAATACGGTCTGGACGTCATTGCACGGCGCATCCAAGAAAGTATCAGTGTTCTGTTCCTTAGCAAAAAGGAACTTATTTGCTGTAATGTTGAACATTTTTTCATCAGAAATCTAATGAAAACAGGTCACTTTCAAGAAGTGGTAGAGCAATTTGTCTCCTTTACTCTCACATGGCTTTTCATGTGTGCTATAAAGGCAGGGTCTGTCCTATCGTTGTTACTTTTCGAAAAATTTTTACGACCCCCCTCCCCCAACGTGGATTTGATACGACCCCCCCTTTTCCCTACCTCCACCATCTCCATCTTCCATCAAAACCCCGCCCACTTTTTCCTCCAAAAATGCCGTCGAGCGGGGGGGGGGGGGTATATAGTCACTCTGAAACGGTAAATATCTCCGAAAATTTCCTTCTATTTCCACCATTTCAACCAT